CCCCCCCCCCCCCCTTCGTTTTCTTGCCCTGTTCAGGTAAGGCATCCCTTTGCACGGCCTCTCTCACCCGCGATTGCGCCTCTCTGCCTATCTGTCTATCGGCCCGCTCTGCCTGTATTGTCATTGTGCTATCTCTCTCTCTCTCTTTCTCTCTTTCTCTCTTTCTAACTCTGTCTGTCTCTCTGTCTGTCTGTCTGTCTCTCTCTCTCTCTCTCTCTCTCTCTCTCCTGGAACGGCGGTTTAATCTCGTGTCGGCGCCTGTCGCTTGTCGCTTGGTGCGTTATCATGACCAGACTTGTTCTACTCGGTGCTCTTCGAGGTGGAGCCCTCGGTCGAGAGCTTGTTCACGAGGTCCAAACGTTTCCACGGAGAGGTGCGTCAATGTGCCTGTTGTGTTGTTGGTGTTGGGTAATTTTCATTTTGTTTTTTCTCCCATCATTGGACTCTGTCGTCTGCCCCTCTGGCCCCTATCCTCCACTTCTACTAGACGACCCAACCGGGGTCACATAGGAGGGGGGGGGTGGACCCCCTCCTGCGGTTATGTGGTCTGTTGGATGTCGTTGATGTTGCTCGTGTTGTGTTGTGCTGTTCGGTGTTTGCTGATGGTGTGGTCTTTCGGGTGCTGTTGATGTTGTCGCTCATGGTTATTTGTCCTATTTGGTGTGTGCTGATGATGTGATCTGTTGGATGTCGTTGATGTTGTCCCTGATGTTTTTCTCTGCCATTTGGTGCTGTTTGTTGCTCTCTGGTGTGGTCGGTCGAATGTCGTCGGTGGCGTGGTTGTCGATGTCGTTGGCGGCGTTTGGGTCGTCGATGTCTGGGGTAGTGTGATTGTTGATTTGACTACTGTCGTCGTCGCTGTTGCTGCGGTTGTTGTTGGTTTTTTGTCCTTGTCGAAACGTGGTGTCTGCAGGTTCACACCAGTCGATGCACGCGTGGCTCAATTCAGACCTCTCAGACAACCAGAACGACACATGCCTCAATTTCGTGTGTAGAATTCCCTTCGTTTACTCTCCCTCAATTTGTGTAGCACGAACTGTGCTAAAGATGACGGGCTTACCTTCCTATCAATTCGTGCGAGACATCGACGCGGTTCCCGCTCCTTGTACTCTCTAGGCGTCGTATTAACGAACGGCCTCGTTGCTCATGAAACCGCAGATGCTCATGCGCATGGTGGACACGTCCGTGAGGCTTCTCAACAACCTCCAGGAGCTTGTACCCGACCTCCTTCAGCTCGGCCTTCGACACAACGCGTACAAGGTGCCAAATAGTGTTCGGTATCCCTTACCCTCGTTGACCCAAAATATTCAAGTACTTACTTTGGCCTGTTTGTTTTGAGTAGGAACAGGTCAGCCCCGTGTCGCAACCACGTCCCCTCCCCCCAACGCCTCATGCCACACTTCAGACCCGGCGTGGTGTGCGAGTGTGGTCGGTTCCAGTTGGGATGCGAGGTTCCACGATGGAAAGAGTTCCCCTCGGCATCCATGACCACTTCCCCCCTCCCTCCCCCAATCGTAATGACGAAACCGCCTCTCCGGCAGGTTCGAAAGGAGCATTTTCCCGTCGTCGGGGAAGCCCTGATAGCCACGCTGGGCCTCGTTCTCCAGAATGAGTTCACCGACGAAGTCAAGCAGTCGTGGGCAGCCGTTTACAAAGTCTTGTCCAACATCATGGTGGGCTAACTTGGTTTATCCTTGCTCTTCTTGTTCTCCGAATGCTATGGTTTTGGGTCTGCTTTGTGTCAGCGTCTGTCTGTCGTTTGAGCCCCTTTGCAGTATATGACGACCTAGGGTATTTTTCATGCTGCGGACCATTCAGATAGAAGGAGGGGGGTTGTGAGTGGGGGGGCAGAGAGAAAGGCAGAGAGACAAGATGGTCAAGAAAAATTACAATGCGACCTCAGGAATCCTTGCTCGTTGAATAGGCAAGGCGGAGGGGGGGCGGGCGGGAGGGGGGGGGCACTCATAGTCGTGCATGCCGTAGCCGTTAGACCATTGACCTCGCATCCCTACAAAGCCGGGCGGAGCACGCCGGGTTCTCACCGGACCAGACTCTCACATCACCAAGCGCGAAG